AGACATGGTAAACATTCACTTCCACAAAAATTAACTAAACGCTACACAGTAGGCCTGGCCGCTTTATTGTTTGTTTCACATCCTTGATGTGCAGCAGGCATTAATAATGACAAGAAAAATGATAGATGTATCATTTTCCAGGATTCTTTCAAGTACTGGCTGTGTATGTGTAGACTAGACTGGGCTAGACTAGACTAGACTAGACTAGACTAACGCATGTCCACAGGCCTAATAGAAAGATAGACAGAAAAAGTTTATCATGAAGAATGGTTGCATGCAGGGTTGCTTCCACTCACTTGCTATACATGAGTGATTTTCGGAGTTTTGAATTCGTTAGATGTTGTAATGGGGATTTGTGTTTGTTGGATACGGGAGGAGATTGGAGGGCGGGTGTTTGACGCATAGAGCCGTCAATTTCACTTTCAGAGTTTCGCAGTCGGTGGTTTTATGATTCGTGAACGCTCGCGATTCGTAGGATCGTTGATTGTGACTGCGAGTGAATTTGACGGGTTTTGTTTGTCGGACGCTTGCCTTTTGGCCTTTTCTTGTGTCTAGCATGTGCAGAGTATCATTATAGCGTCTAATGGTTTTCAGATTCCTGGTTGCGTGAAATACATTTGTGAAAATACCTTTTTGAGATTTGAGTAGTCACGTTTTGTTTGTAGTTTATATTTTATTTATTTCATGTAATTATCGTAAATAATAGTTATTCAAAAATAAATAATTCTTCCATATACACTGGAGTCGCTTTTTACGCGGTTTTTTTTACACGGTTTTTTTTACGCGGATTTCGGAATTTACGCGGTTTTTTTTACGCGGATTTTGGTTTTTTTTTATGCGGATATCAGAATTTACGCGGTTTATCATTATACACTGGAGTCGCTTTTTACGCGGTTTTTTTACACGGTCTTTTTTTACGCGGTTTTTTTTTACGCGGATTTCGGAATTTACGCGGTTTTTTTTACGCGGATTCCGGAATTTACGCGGTTTTTTTTTTGCGCGGGACGTATCACCCGCGTAAAAAGCGACTCCAGTGTACTCAATAATAAATTTACGAATGACTATAACTTGGATAGCTAACAATTGGACAGAATCACTAGCAATAATAGGTTGCGGAGTGTTCGCCTTCGAAAATATCGAAAGACATTGGAGGCGGATTCTGGTACGGAATTACAGGCTGCTGTTTTGAGCATCTTATCGTCATAAAATTAGAAATTACATTTAGGTTTTAGTCAACAAATGCGAATAGTAAGTTAGATATGTTATGGTATAAACTTTTGCAACCATTTTTTTTTTATCGCAGTTATAACTAGGAGATGAGGAAGAAATATAATACGAAAATATACGTAGGAATGAGAAGAAGACATAGACAAAGACAGACTAGCGATTACCGAACCATAAAGATTTTCAAGAAGATTATGATTAATCAAGATCGTGAATCCGGTGTTTAATTGGTCACCATAGACTAATCCGTCCGGCATCGTAGTCACTTGAAAATTTTTCTCATCAACCCCGATCATTGCAATCCTATGGGGATAAAAAAAATATATTCATTATGTCATATTTAATGTTTTGATATATTTCATTTCACCACTACATATATTTTCATTATATACCCCTCACCATCCCTCTCCAAAGGGGGAGTTTGGTAAAGAGAGATGAAAAAACCGATTTGTACCTTCCTTAAAAGTTTTTTTTTCCTTTGGTTTGTTTTTTCCGTCGATCTTGTTTTCCGTGCTGAGCACCAATGCTACCGACGTGCCAGGAAGGCAGCTCCCACACCTGGACCCTACCTATCGACCCATCAACTCATGAACCGGGGACCAACGGCTTTACTTCTCATCCGAAGGAAGGCGTGATCAGAGATGTTATGCCTCAGAACATCCCGGCGGCACCGACTGGTATTGAACCCAGGCCTGCTGGGGTGAGAGGTAATCACACTCACCACTACACCACCGGCGCCGTTGAATCCTTAAAAGTTGTCCTAGCTCGCTTTTCTAATATCTATATACAATCTTCACACTGCCGTACTCTAACGGAACTATCAACTCTATGCTTTCATCTACTCCATCTATTGTATAAAAATTACCACTACAGTCTGTTATTTGAAATTAGCATCTTCAACTATGGTTTTTTTTTTCAATTTTTGTATGACTTCATTTTTGACAGAACTTTCTATAATGCTATAAGAATGCCATTCATATTTTCATGGGTGAGCTAGCAAAAAATGTTTATTTTCAAAATTATTGGAGGTGGCACTCTTGGTTCACCTGACCCTACCTACTTTTCCCGTTGATTTCTGTTTTCGGCTGCTCACTCGTAATCTCAATTTATTTCCATAACTATTTTGAAATAATATACACACATCAGTGTTCAAGCTGCAAACATAGGCTAGTTTGGCGGATTTGTCTCCTTCGACACAAAAACCACATCGTTGGCTTCGTGTCACATTCGTGGGACCATAGGAAGGACAGCAGGCGCTTCTGAAGGCCTTTTCTTCTTCTTCTTCGCATTTCAAGCTTATTGCATATCGCATATTAGCTTATTGCGTGCTCTCAACTTAGTGTTCTAGATGCACTTCCACAGTTATTAATTGAGAGCTTTCGATGCCTGTACCATTGTTGCATTGGTATAATTGTGTGGCGAGTCCAATCATATTTTTACACGGAGAACAAATTCGTTAAGTTAGATAACAATCCTAATAGTTACTTTCACATGGAAAAATATTGTTGTTTGAAAGAAACCTATAGTTATTCCAACATTAATTTGACCGTCAACTCAATCATATCTACCTAATAGGTTCAACTGTTCATCTTATACTCAATTCAACTATAACTTTGATCAATTGTAACAACCGTCAAATGTAATTTATTTATATAGTTTGGTTTCAAGTGATCATCATAAATCCACATACTTTTAACTAGTGATGCGTAGAGCAGGCAATAAGATAGTTGGCTCTCACGCAGATGAACACGGTTCAAATCTAAGTTGAAAGTTCTTGTTCACTTTTTTTTATGATTTTGCAGTTGTGTTTTTGAGATCGATAAAGAAGCAAAACAAACTTCCATAATATGTCGATAATGAAGAGCAGTTTTTTTTAATAAAAATTGTAAAATTTTGCTTTGTTTGTAATTTATTTATATAGTTTGGTTTCAAGTGATCATCATAAATCCACATACTTTTAACTAGTGATGCGTAGAGCAGGCAATAAGATAGTTGGCTCTCACGCAGATGAACACGGTTCAAATCTAAGTTGAAAGTTCTTGTTCACTTTTTTATGATTTTGCAGTTGTGTTTTTGAGATCGATAAAGAAGCAAAACAAACTTCCATAATATGTCGATAATGAAGAGCAGTTTTTTTAATAAAAATTGTAAAATTTTGCTTTGTTTGTAATTTATTTATATAGTTTGGTTTCAAGTGATCATCATAAATCCACATACTTTTAACTAGTGATGCGTAGAGCAGGCAATAAGATAGTTGGCTCTCACGCAGATGAACACGGTTCAAATCTAAGTTGAAAGTTCTTGTTCACTTTTTTATGATTTTGCAGTTGTGTTTTTGAGATCGATAAAGAAGCAAAACAAACTTCCATAATATGTCGATAATGAAGACCAGTTTTTTTTAATAAAAATTGTAAAATTTTGCTTTTCTAACAATAGTTTTCTTGAATCAACTAAAGCATAGTTGTATTTTGAAGTTTGACGTTTGTTCATCTACTGAAAAATATAGTTGAGCCAACCGAGGAGCCAACTGTGTACTATAGTTGTTTCTCTCTATCACCCCTATTCTGTATTTCGTTTCGAACGAAATTCTCATACAAAAAAATATTTTTTTGTATGAGAATTTCGTTCGAAACGAAATACAGAATAGGGGTGTATATATAGTTAAATCAACTATAGTTTCGGGTTATCTCTAAAACAATTGAACAATATAGTTATTTTGACCGGAAAAATAATTGCGTCTGCTATAATTTGTTCTCCGTGTGGTCTTGCTTTGTAGCTGCGCCTTTACCGACTGAGCTAAGGAAGGCCTTCTTCTGTATATATTTGGCCGTTGATGGTGCCGGTCGTTATGTACGGCTTGCTGAATTTGCCGCACCCACAGATCGCCTGCCACACTAAGTACTTCTTGGCAAATTTGTCGACCTTCTTCTTCCGGAACATCCAGGCGGGATTTGCCGACGAAAAACTCCAGGCCGGAAATCTGCTTGGCATCCGCTTTGATGTACGTCTCGTCGTCCATTACAATGCATTTCGGCTGCACCAACCACTCGCGATACAGCTTCCTGGCGCGGGATTAGGCCACCGTATTCTGTTTATCGGTTCGGTTAGGCGCCTTGCTTACCTTGAAGACATGAAGTCCGGCCCGCTTCATTGTCTGCTGGACGAACCAGGTGGAAGAATTTACCTTCTTGGCCACGTCGAAAGGTTCGGATTACGCTTGAAGTAATCCCTCACCTTCCTTGCGTTCACGGGGTCGGTCGTCTTCACTTTTCTTCCGCTGCCAGCTCGCCACTGGGTCGTCTGGGTCTCTTTGAACCATTTTACCACACGGGACACGGTCGAGTTGTCGATACCAAACTGTTTCGCGATTCACCTGTGGGACTGGCCTGGATTTTCCACGACCGCTCCCATATTTTTTTGTCGAAGCACTTCTTGTTTGGATGCCATCTCGATAACCACTTGACAGATTGTGACGACATTTTGTACTTTTAAACATTACATTCTAAACTAATTTTAAACAAAATTTCATCAATTTTCACCCATGCAACAAAAATTTATACACAAAAGAAAGCGTTGCATTTTTTTCGAGTACAATCTTTATTTGACAACAGTCGTCCCATGTAAATCTCACAGGAGTAGAACTATTGTGCAAATAGTGGTAAACATGAAAGTTAGGGAGTTCGTGTTATATAAATGGCATTCGGGGAGAGTTGATCGAAATCTTAGCTACGTTTATGCATTGTGTAACGATGTTCAATCAAATCTTATATTTACAGCAGTAAAAAAGTTGGATGCAGGTACACCCGGGCAATCTACTCCTGTTCGTCGAAGTCGTCGCCGTTCTATGACTAGATCGCCGTCTCCCAGCAAAACTGAAGTATCGCAACTGAAAAGCGTTAGCGAAGAAGAAGAACAAGTCGAATCAGCTGATTTATCCAGTGCTCGTAAAAAACGAAGAACAAGATCAATCACAAAATCACCAACTCCCGCCAGAACAACTGAAGTTACGCGTTTAGAAGTGTTGGAAGAAGAACTCGATGTTGATGCTGAGAAAGCTTTGGATCCTGTAACACCGAATAAACAGACAGAAGGGGATGTATATCAAAAGACCGCGAAAACATCAGAAGCTATGGTAACAAAACAAGACGTCAGTTCAGTGATCATTCATACGAATGAAACTAAAACACCAAAGCAAACAGATTCGCCTCAAAAGGAGGAAAAGCCAGTCACGTCAGTAAAGCTTACCGAAGCTTTGCAAGCTAGTGAAGCTACGCCTATGAAATTCACTTCCGAGGGACAGTCTGATTTAATAAAGAGTTCCCAGACATCTGAAACCGAATATGCCGAAGTAGCAAAGGAATCTGAATCAAAAGATCAAGAAACTAACAATGACGAACAGGTATGTAGTGTTCTTCCGTTGTGTTTAACTGGTTGCAGTATTAATTGTTTCTCGTTTTTTAGCAAACATCAGACAACCAGCATGAGGAATCGTCTAAATCAGAGAAACACAGCTCTTCGTCGTCAGCCAAGAACCCATCCAGCAAAACTCCTCGAACAAAACCAGCACAAACTACAATTGAGTTTGTAGCCGAGGAAAATGAACCTACAATTGATAATAGCAAAGTTTTGCTCAGTTGGTGTATGTAATTTGTTCCTGTGTTCTATTTGAACTTTTAATCCTAAAATAGTTATTTTTTACAGTTGATTCGGACCTGAATTTGGAGATAGATCCAAAAACATTCGATGTAGCTAAGCCATTTTCTGAAGGTGCTTTGTCTTTGCTATGGGCAGCAGCGCGTGCTAATTTGGGTGCGACGATGGGAAAAATAGCTTTCGAAGTTATCTTGACCAAGACTAATGAGTTACGTAAGGTAACTGAAGAACCTGTTACCTCTGAATTCCGGGTTGGATGGTCAGTGGCAGACGCGAATCTGCAACTAGGTGAAGCTAAGCATTCATTTGCGTATGCCAGTACTGGTTCGAAAGGAACAGACAGCACGTTCACAGACTACGGCTCAGAATATAAAATAAATGATGTACTAGGGGTATACCTTGACCTAGATTCCAGTCCATGCAAGATTGAGTATACGGTCAACAATGTCAAACAAGGAACCGCATTCGAGTTCCAAAAAGTTGAACTGGAAGGAAAGGCACTGTATCCGCATGTCTGCAGCCGAAACATTGCATACAAAGTCAATTTTGGTCAGCTTGAGCGAAGTCTGCTGAACGATAGACAGAAACCTAAGAAATTTAAAAAAGAAGACAAACATTCAGAAAAATCTGCTGAATCATCGATGACAAATAAGGTGTGTGCGGATGCAGACACCTCAGAACAAATGGATAAACCAGCAGCGATGCAAGATACGGACAAACCAGTTGAAGAACAAAAGGTACCGTTATGTTAGATATAATAGTATCTCAGGCCGATTTTCATACATAATAATCAACATGAATATGTAAGTTTTTCAAATGATCAATTGAGCTGAAATGTTTGCGGCTGCACTATAAAAACACCTGAGATATGTAGCACCCTTCATTTTACATAAAAAATTCTAAATTTTTGAAAACTGATTTTGGGAACGCACATAATATTTCTCCAATAACAGAATTAATTATTCTTATCTGAAATTAACATAACATTCAAATGTTCACACAAGTGCTGTTCCCAATTATGAGATTACATGAAAGTTATGTGAAAGTCTTATGGATATATTCCATCGGAAATGTGATTTATTTTTTGAGTGTAAACAATGATCCTAAAATGCAACGCTCCAAACATGATTTAGAGGTAGGGTTTTTGATCTAATTTCCGTCCTACTAAGGACGTCCCGCACTTTACCACGCTTTTTGGAAAGGGTTTGAACAAAACATGGAATGTTTTCATAAAAAATAACTTCTAAATTTATCCACCTTTCCATACGTACCTTTGGATTTGATAAAGAGTCAAACAATGTTGAGATATTATTAAAAATCTAACACTGCTTCTTGCTTCTAAATTCGTCCTACGCGTTTCAATTCCGTCCAAACGCATTGAAACGCCATTAGATTTTCTTCGTCCTACGGATAAACGGAGAAAAAGGGGATGCGCTAGGAGCGCTTCTTTTGTTTTGAGAACAATGAGCGTAAATATGCATACAATGCGCTCTAATAGGATTTATGTTGTAGCTAATGAACTAACGCATCGGAACAAACGTATTATTGTTTTGTGCATTGTGAAATCATTGATATTATTGATGATTTCTGCTTGATAGAATTGAAATGGGCGATTACGACGAAGTAGCGCTCTTCCCTATTCTATAACTACCAAGAAACTGATGAGAATATGATCAACAACAAAAATCCTCTATTTACAATAATAATCTGCTATAATCAATATCTCTTTTTTTTTTCGTTTGCTACACCTTTCAATTAATGTTTCAATTTCTTGCTGGTATTTTATTATGATAAATTATGAAATACAATTTTTCAAAACTCAAATAAGAAAAAAATCTACTATATCTACCGTCAGGAGTGCTTATATTTCTCCTTGGTGTCAGAACGGTGTAAAAAATAACCTTTTTTAATTCATGTTGTTCATAGCGCCTCCTATAAACTGCAAAAACCATGCTCCGTACCTTCTGACCATTATTTATTTTTTACGGATAGTCTTATCTCATTGGAGGCTATTCGTTCAATGATGCCGATGAAGCCTCCTCGTATTTCCTGCCTGAAATACGATCCAAACTGAGTGCTTTATCCAACTGCTCCTATACTATCACCTCAGCTTGGGTTCCATTCTCATTGCTCAATTTCGGGTAATGAGAAAGCGGACTCGTTAGCTAAGGTGGGTGCTATTGAAGGCTATATTTTTGAGCGAAAAATCGCCTTCAACGAATTTTTCTCCATTGCTTGTCAGCAAATCCTTATCAGTTGGCAACAAAAATGGAATTTATTTATTTATTTATTTATTCAGTCTTCGACGGTTTCGCACAGACTAATCTTAACCTATCACATTTACTCTTAACCTATTATGGAATGATGGTGATTTGGGAAGTTCAAAGGGTTGGACACGAGCCGCGACTTTATACGCGTTATGTCAAGGCTTATGTCCAAACACTGTTCGTTAGACTCGCACTTCTATCGGATTGGGCTCTCAAGCAGCAATTTATTTGCGTGTGGCAGTGGTTATCACGATATCGAGCATGTTGTTTGGTCATGTACCCTACACCGTGTTGCCAGATCTGAGTTATCCACATTCCTCAGGGCCCGAGGAAAACAACCCGCGATACCCGTTAGAAATATCTTGACGAGCTGAGATCTCGACTATTTTAATTTAATTTACCTATATGTTTTTAAAACGGATAGATCTGAGAATTTAGTAGCTAGTGTCATCTTGTGTTCTCCCAAGTTGTTAGCTGCCCATCGGTGTACCCCCATGTTTGTCTTTTTCATCAGTATGTCGTTTAGTTCGAGATCAAGAGCACATTTCTCTCCAAACCTTGTGTACCCTACCCTGCCATCCATTTGTTACAATTTATTACCCCTAACCTCGAGATAGCCTCGAGTAATCGGCCCCCGGTTTAGTAACGTTGGTTTTAAGTAATTTTGTGATCTATACAATGAATTTCGGCTCCGCAAAGCTACAGCAAATGAGCCTGGAAAAATGAACGCATTATAAAAAAAAATAAATATTGTATATAGTCAAATTTTAATACATTGACCTATAAAAACCCTAGGGAGCTGAGAAGACATTAAAGAACTAGGACAGCTAATATTTGAATGTATTAAATTGCGATTATTACACATACAAATGATTTTAACCTTGCATCTTGGCCCGTCCCACCGTATTTTTTTTTATGAAGGAACTTTCTGAAACTATTCTGGGTAAAATTGTTCGATAAATAAGTAGTTTTAAATTTTTGAATCCGGGCAAAATTTTGTGTTTTACAATTTTACAATTACCTATACTGTCGCTCTTGGCAAGTCCGTCCCATAACACAAAACAGCAAACCGAGAATTTAAGTTTGCTTTGTACCATTATTTCTTATGTGATGTTTTTTTCCAAACTTTTCTAGAACAAAGTTGTTTCTTTATTCCAGTAGCGTCATGGCAGGCTTCTTTGGACACTTTTCTGATGTGAGCGAACTTGAACGTGTATGAAATTAATAAAGTAGTTAATAATAGGATGCGGTGTACATCCACTAGGGATACGTTTATGGTGTGTTATGAGAAGTAGGGTAGGACGGGGCAAGATGAGCACCCTTCAATTTTTCATAAAAAATCCTACATTTTAGAAAACTGCACATACGTACCCTTAAACAATGATCCGTTTTAGACTTGAATAACCGTTAATGGATTACTAAACTGTAGTAGACTTGTCTTTATATGTTAATAAATTTGAACCCGTCTATTACCACGGCTCCAGTTTATTTTGATTTGGGCTCTCAGTCTCTTTTCATCTTACTTTTTCGATTACACTTTAAATACAAAGTAGTTCCAAAAGTGATTTAGAGATATTCTATAACTACCGGAAAATTGATGAAAATATGCTGAACGAAAAATCTTCTCTTTGTAATACGAATTTGCTATAATCAATATCTCTTTTTATTCGTTTGTTACAACTTTCAATTAATGTTTCAACTTCGTGCTGGTATGTTATGTTGATAATCTAAGGAGTATAATTCTTAAAAACTCAAAAATATTAGAACAAATTATGCTACAAATGCACGTTAAAAAAGTTACTTTTTCAATTTATTTTGTAAATAGTCAAATTTGAATACATTGTATATCAACCCTTGATAGTTAGTGATGACATTAAATAACTAGGACAGACAATATTCTAATGTATTAATTTCAATTATTACATATACAAATGATTTTAACCTTAAGGCCATCGTTCGGACATTTTGAGCCGTTTGTCTGTGATTTGGGTGGTTTTCCAGGAAACGTCCCGAAAATCCTGTGAAGGAAAGCGAATATCGGGAAACAAATTCCGTCCGATTGTAGCCAAGGATTTTGTTTTCCTAGTGGGGTAAAATTTGGGTGGAAAAGTGCATTCAACTTCAAGTGGTGTGCTTTTCCCGGGAAAGTGGCATTTCCACCCAAAGAGAATATGCACGTGAGTGTATATGTGCGCGCAAGGAAATGCAATCTTGCGCCTATGTTTTCCCGGGAATTTCCCAAGAAAGTATACCATATTTTTATACCAGGACATTCTGCAGACTATGCACAACATGATGGTATACATAAACATATGATTTTCGAAAATTTGTAGCATTGTTTTTCAATTTCCAAACCATGCGCCAAACATTCTCGCTGTAAATTCGTCACGGACATAGTAAAGAAGCAATCAGCAATTACGCATTTGTTTTACCACGTAGCCACATTTTCTTGTTCGTAGGTCCACGAGTCCTTTTTCGCTAGTTTGCTCATCATATCAAATTGATCAGGAATTCTTCCGAATGTCAAAAATTATATCGAAGACCTACGACGGATCCGAAATTGAAATTGAGATCTCCATATATTTTTTCATCATATCAAACTGAACAGGAGTTCTTCAAAATCTTATCTTATCTATCGAAGACCAATCCTGCATATTCCCTCATCACATCAAATTGATCATTAATTCTTCCGAATAATCAGAAATTATATATAAAACGTATGACTAATCGGAACTTAAAAATGAGTTCTCCATATATTCCACCAACACATCAAATTGATCATAAATCCTTCTGTAGACATTCGGGCAGTTAGAATATATTTCAAAATACAAGGATGGTCAAAAATTCTTCCAAACTATCAGAAGTTATATGGAAACCCTTCGATTGATTGCAAATTGAAATCAAATTCTCCATTAATTCCTTGATCATATCATATTGGAATTATCAGGAATTATTCCGAATAATAAGAAATTATATCGGAAAATGAAATCGAGTTCTACATATGTTCCCTCATCATATCAAATTGATCAGGATTTCTTCCAAATTATCAGAATTAATATCGAACACGTATGACTAATTGGAAATTGAAATTGAGTTCTCCATATATTCCATCAACATATCAAATTAATCAGAAATCCTTCTGAAGAACTTCGGGCAGTTCGAATGTATTTCAAAATACAAGGATGATCAGGAATTATTTCGAAATTTCACCGAATTATCAGAAGTTATATGGAAACCCTATGACTGATTGGAAATTGAAATCGATTTCACCATAATGTGTACCCTATGTACCATATCAAAGTGTTCAGAAATTCTTCCGGATTATCAGAAATTATATTGAAGGTCTTCGACTAATAGAACAATTGCAACCAAGTTTCCATATATATCTCATTCAAATCAGGTTGATCAGGAATTCTTTCGAATTATCAGAAATTATAAAAAAAAACTTCCTGATCAGAAATTAAAATCGA